CCGGCCCCCGCGGACAAAGGGCGGACTCGGGTCAAAATAATGGAGGGCAGCGGCGAGGAGAAGGCCGCGGGGCTGGCGGGGGGCGGCCGGTGGCAGGTACCGCGGCGGGAGGGAGATTTGCCTCCCTTGGCAGCCGCTCCGCAATCCCGGGAGCCTGTCGGAGCGCAGAGGAAATAGCTGTCCGATCCATCACTTGTCAGACATTAAATTGGATTGGGTATTTTTCCCCCCTTTGTTACTGACTCCATCCATATTACAAACTCCGAAAGTCCCGTTGGGATTATACGAATTGAGCCATTCTGCAAGAGCGGTTAGTCATGCTTTAAATTCCCCAGTTATGAGGTGCATGGATTTAGGATTAAGGAAAATGTGACTTTTAAGTTGTTTCTGCTTTCCTCGTTGCAGGATTATTTGTTGTAACTGGGAATGGTGTGCAAAGTATTGCATTTAAATCCTCCTTCGACTGAGTTGCTTACGCGATTCCGTGTAATTGAGTGACCGGAGTTTCAAACTCTTAAAAAGAAATCATTATGTCGCAGAAGATTGCATAAAGTCCGTGAGAAAACCAGCACGTTTAAACGCCGAAATGCCTTTTAAACCCAAATCTTCCCCCTTCACCCCTGTGCCGGAGACCCGCACGTACCCGGCCGCGTCCCGGCGGGACCAGCCCCCTCCCCGCCGTCGGCGGAGTCGCCTTCCCGGGTGCTCGCTGCCCACGGGCTTCTGCCCGGTTCCCAGCCCGGAAAGCCGGGGCACGCAGATGAAAAACGGCTTTTTGTAAGCCCCAGGCCCAAACTCCATCGGGGCAACCCCGAGCCTATATATTCGTTGCCACTCCGGTTGGAAATATACACTTCTTTTTCAATTGGGCGCGGGGTGTGGGGGGGTGCAAACCCAAGCCACAACCCCCCCTCCCCTTCCTCTCCCTCCCCTCCACCTCCCGCCCCCCAGGCCAGGCTGCAGCCGGCCTCGGAAAGGCTGCTCGAAGCCTCCACCGCGTTATTACCCACTTGTTGATCCCGCCGGCTTGCTCATGCTCGAAGCCCCCGTGAGTCGCTAAACTCGGGGCGAAGTGTCGGCGCCGGGGCGAGGCGGAGCGGCCCCCCCGGGGCCCCCCTGCTCCGCGGGGCAGGTGCCTCCCTTGGGTGCTCACTGCTGGCTCCGCCGCGGGGGCCGGCACATCCTCGCCGCAGCCCCGCTCCCCCAGCGATGTCCTCCCGAGGGAAGGGGACACGCTGCGGGGACGCGAAAAGGGGGTGGGGGACGCGGAAAGAAAAGTGGAGCAAAAAGAAAAAAAAAAAAGAAAAAAAAAAAAAGGAAAAAAGAAAAAGAACAACGAAGTGACCCAAAGTCGGCGGCCGCTGGCTGCCCCTCTCCGAGTAGATGCTCTCGGGACCCTGGGAGGGTGCTGGGGGTGCGACTGTGCTCGCCACCGCGCTCCTGGAAGGCAAGCGAGAGCCACAGCAGCCAGGACAACAATGAGGCGAAGGTAGGATAGGGAGCGGGGCTCTGCGCCGAGCGTCTCGGTGCAGCAAGCAGGGAGATCAGAGCCTGGAAAAATAATGGAAGGGGGGAAAAGGCGTCAGAGGAGGCAGTCTCTGCCTCTCAGAAACTGAATGGTATAAAAAGGGAAAGGTTTCCAGAAGTTCATTACACTGGCTGACTTCGCGCTTTGAGCTCCAGGCTTCGGCCCCTATAATATCAGCAGAGAGGCTGTGACAGGCAGCGGCGGGGAGGGGAGAGGGACGCCCCTTGCCCACTGAGCTTCCCTCGCTTTCCCCCCAACTCCTGCCGCCGCGTGACGTCACCCCGCGCTGCCAAGGGGAGGGGGCAGGGAGGGGGTTAAATGCTAATGATATTAATGAACCCCCGAGCGGCTTCCACACAAAATGCAGCGGCTGCCGAGACGATTCCGCCTCCTCACTCGCCTTGTGCCCTCGCTGTCATAAAAAGCGACAACTCCCCACGCCCCCGCAAAAAAAAAGCCCCAAAAAAACAACAAAAAAACCCAACAAAATCCCAGAAAAAACCACAACAGAAGACAAAAAGAAAGCAGAATGAACGGATCAAGATCCCGTTTCTTTTGCATTTTCCCGTGCTGAGGTGGAGCCCGCCTGCGGTTCGCCCCTGCCCTTGCCCTTGCCCCGGCCAGGGCAGCGCTGTGCTGGCAGCCGGCGGGGTCGGGCGGGGAGCGGGCCGGGGCTGTGAGCCGGGCCGGACCGAGCCGGGCCGAGCCTCCAGCCTTCCCTCAGGGCAGCCGGACCGCCGTCGTGCCGCCCTGCAGCGGGAGCCGGAGGCTGGCCCGGGGGCGCGGGGCCGGCCGGCTCCTGGAGGCGCTCGGCGGGCTGTGCTCCCGCTGTCCTGCGCCGGGACTTGTTGCACGGCGGCCGTGCGAGGGGATCGCCCTTGCCCGGTGGGGTTGCTCCGACCCCCGGGCACCGCCGCCCTCGCTGCCCCTCAGCAGCTCGCCACCCCCGAGCGTCCCAGGAGCGCTGCCAGAGCCGCGGTGCCGGCGAGGGGCAGGAGGAGGGACCCTTTCTCAACTCTGCTTTCACCGGGAGGCTGCCGAGCTCTCCCACTCCCTCTGGGAACTAAGAGGTGAGAGGTGCTCATCGGGGGAGGAAGGGAAGGTTATCTCTCCTGCAGATGCAAGCTGGGCCGGCAACGGCGCCAGAGAGCAGGGGCGGCAGGTGCTGTCCCTCGGTCCCTGCTTTCTCATCCCTGCCACTCGTGTGAGGTGTTGATGCACCACAGCTGATTCCCCCTTGTTGGTTGTGATCCTGGGAGAATGTGGTGTTCAGCCCAGTCCCAGACACACTGTCCCCGTCCTCCTGCACTTCATATTTCATCCTTGCATCTTTCTATCTCAGGTTAGGGGTGACTCCTCTTGTGCTGATACTGTGACTGTGTCGCAGGGCTGCATGACTCTGGGCAGCGCTGGAATCCCAGTGACTTTCTGCTCTTTGCTCCCCACTAGACCAGTGCATCCATGACACAGAAGGAAGCCTCGAACCAGGACAAGCCTGGTCCTGCCTAACACTGAGGGATATGGTCCAGAGGACTGGGAAGTTGCTCAGGGCGATCTCAGAAAGCAAAGAAACTGGTGGATCAGGGAATGCAGACAAATTCACTCCAAATCTGCTTCCAGGGAGGCAGGGAAAAGTTCACCTCCTTGAGCAATGTGAAAAGCAACAGGGAAGGAGATGCTGCATTAGCAAGGTCTGAAGGCCAAAAGAAAGAGGATTAAATGGCAGCAGGGGCCAAATCTGGCCCCGGGCATCCCTGCTCTAGAGAGACAGATCTCTGGCCTTATAGAAGCCACAGCTGTTTGTGTTGTAAACTCAAAGCCACCTCAAAAACATTGCAAAGGCTGATCAGACCATGTCCACAGGTTTCAGATGCACCTGAGAGAGGCTGCTTTGAATCAGGCAAGGTTTTCTCTCCCATGCACAGCATCAGGCTCTGCCAAGAGAAAAAAAGGAAGAGCTCAAACAGCCCACCTCTCCACCCAAAACTGCACTAACATAACCCTGACACCCGAAGATGCATGTGGGCTGGGGCTGCAGTTGCTGTGGACGGAGAAAACCATCAGCCCTTCCGTGTTCCCTGGGCTGTGCCTGGCATTGCTTTGTAAACCTGTACCAGCTGAGGTTTGTCCTTTGTCTCTTCAGAGCCTTTCCTATGGTTTCTGTGAGGGACAGAGATATCTCAGCCCTGAAAAAGAAGGCAAGAGTGCTTCCAAAAGTAGAGGGTAGAGCTCTCTCCCACTTCCAGCTTTTTGCTGCAGGTCCTATCAAAGCTGTTTCCAGGGCCATTTGGACAAAAAGTATTTCAGCTTCCAAAAGGTGAGAAATTACAGTTAACATTTAGTACTTGTAATGATTACCATTATTACTATTTAACATTTACCATATTATCCTGGTGTTTGATGAAGTAGTAGTTAATTTTCTTCATAGTAGCTGGCATAGTGCTGTGTTTGGGATTTAGGGTGAGAATAATGTTGATAACACACTGGTGTTTTAGTTATTGCTGAGCAGTGCTTATACTAAGTCAAGGATTTTTCAGCTTCTCATGCTGCCCTGCCAGAGAGTAGGCTGGGGTGTGCAAGAAGATGGGAGGGGATGCTGCTGGGACAGCTGCCCCAAACTGGCCATAGGTATATCCCGTATCATACAGCATCATGCTGAACAAAAAACCTGGGGGGAGATGGCAAGAGGAGTGGCTGGGCAGCAGTCAGTTGGTGGCAAGCAATTGTCCATCACTTTCACTGTATATCCTTCTACCATTATATTATTTTCCCTTCCTTTTCTGTTTCTTTAAGCTGCCTTTATCTGAGCCCTCAAGTTTTACCTTTTATTTTGATTCTCTTCCTCACCCCACTGTGCTGGCAGTAAATGAACAGCTGTATTGTTTAGCTGTCTGTTGGGTTAAACAGATTTTGTTTATTAAGCAGGCTTACATATACAGAAGATACTAACACAGCAATGAAATTTACTGTCTCCTTGTACTGCCTTGGAAGTACAAATACTTGTCAATCCTGCAACAGGAAATGGCATGTGTTCCCTTCCAAGTGTATCTCTTTCAGGACCTTGGACTCTACTGTTACGTGGTGATATTTCCCAGCATTGTGCCATGGTCTCTTGCCAGGTACCTTTTCTTTTCTTGGAGTATTGGCAGCAATAAAAATCCAATGAGTGACCCATCTTCAAGTACAGGGCTCCTTCTTCCTTTATCTTGCTTTTCTCCTCTGGTCTTTGGATGGGGAGCCAAAAGGTCTTCAGTGAATAAAAGGAAAAAAAAGGAAAAAGTGAAGAAGGTCAGGTGAGGAAAAAATTTAAGATGCCAGAGGTGTGTGGATATAGCAGCAGAATATATGGAAGTGCAGTTTTCATCTGTTTCTCTCAACAGAAAGCAGGTGGGTAAGATAAGGCAAATCTAACATACCTGTTTTCTTGCAAAGGTGATAAGAAGGGAAAGGATAGAGCTATTTTCTCCTGGGAGGAGGAGCTGCTCTTGCTTTGGGATACTTGAGAAGCTATCTCCACTCCCCTCCTTTGGTGCATGTGCTGGGTGATATCCAGAGATGTCCTTTGGTGCCCTAGGCAGCCCTATGCAGGGAGCTGAGAACAGCAGCAGCCTTGCAGCATAAATACCTTCAGGGTTTAGTTCTTTCAAATCACCCCAGAAATCTAAGGTACCTTCCCTTCTTTGTAGGTCACAGTCCGTGTTTTTGTGGCACCACCACAAATCCTTTCTCTGTATCCCCCTGCATGCAGATGGATGGGCAACATCACTGTGAAAGCTGCTGAAGAGACCGTGCTTCTCCTTGGCGGTCCCACCACACTCCTGGTCTGTAACATGGCTTTGCTTGGTGCCCAGCTCGGGCTGCTCCCTGTGTGGAAATGCTCTTTTGCGGTATTGTGTTTGCCTTGCAAAGCCCCTGCCCCACAGATGCATTCCTGGGAGGGCCCTGCACTGTACAACCAGCAGTGGTGGCATTGGCCCTCCTCTTGTCCCTCCTGGGCCAACTCACTGTGCTGGCTTTGGCCCTCCTCTTGTCCTTCCTGGGCCATTTCACTGGGCTGGTTTTGGCCCTCCTCTTGTCCTTCCTGGGCATCTCACTGTGCTGGTTTTGGCCCTCCTCTTGTCCCTCCTTCTTGTCCTCACAGCGCTGGTTTTGGCCAAGGTAGGTGATTTTCTTCACGGGAGCTGGCATAGACCTGTGTTTTGGATTTGTGCTGGAAACAGTGTTGATAACACAGCAATGTTTTCATTACTGCCGAGCAGCTTTTACACAAAGTTAAGGCCTTTTCAGCCTCTCCCCCCATATCACTATAGAGGGGGTGGGGGTGTGTCAGGAGCTGCGAGAGGATACAGGACCCCAACAAACTAAAGGATATTCCAGACTGTATGGCATCATATAAAGCTGGGAAGGGTGGAGAAAGGGGAGGATGTTTGGAGTGATGGCATTGGCCTTCCCAAGTCACTGTTACATGTGATGTAGCCCTGCTTTCCTGGGGATGGCTGGACACCTG